GATATTCTACCAACAACGTAGTGTATCGGAGCTAGATACCTTTGAAAGTCTTTGGTGAAAGATATATATGCAGCAGAATACAAAATATACATTGCAGTGATGCCTCTATTAGTCCAACCAGAACATGCTAAATACATTATGCAAGCTTTTGAAGTGTACAGGATTCTTCATCAGCAACTGCCTTTGTTTCTAACAGTGGAAAAGAAGTGTACTGCCTTGTCTTGCTTTCATGTCACAAACACCTCAAAGCCAGTAACAAGTGTGGCCTTTGCCTGCATCAGACTTTCGTCCACCACTACTCTTAAACTCAACTTTGACATCTCAAGAAAGATGCAGTTATGTGACCCTCCATAATTACATTTCCTTTCACCCCAAATGACCTTTAAAATGCATGCCTGATGAAGAAACCTGTGGGCTTTGAAAGCTTGTGCAATGTTGAAGATTATTGCACTAGTTTATAAACTAGTTTACCTGAGCTGGCTTAAAATTAGAAGCGGGTGGCATCCTGACAGTATCAGACATATTTAGCCACTGAAATTGCAGCCCAGCTGCAGCCCAGCTCCATTGACACTCTGAGGGGTGCTCCGGCGGCCATTTTTTCAAGTCGGAAAGCTCCCAGCTTCGAAAAGAGGCACAAGGAGTGCCCTTTGGAGCAGCGATGGAGCCGTGGCAGCTAAACATGTCTGATACTATCAGGATGCTGCCCACTTCTAATTTTAAACTGGCTCAGGTAAACTGGTTTATAAACTAGCGCAATAGTCTCTATATTTTGCACCTTTGGTAGGTATCACTGCAATGTATTTTTTGGATTTTGCTGTAATGTGGTGATAAGGACTGTGTAGGGGTAGGCAATCTGCTGCTCATCAGATGTTTTTCATACCCTGTAGGGATAATCCCAATTAATCCTCTGTCATTCCAATTTTTCAGCTGCTTTTAAAATTTCCCAGTTTCTCCCTTCTACACCCACTTTCAGCCTTTGTCTTCAGCTTACTTCAGTTGCTGCAAACTTGAGTTCAAAGTACAAAAGTAGTTTGCCCTCAATTAACTTTAGCAGGGAGGAGAGGAGAGGAGGGGAAAGAATCTTACCTTTCCCAGTAGCTTCAGGGAAAAGCAAAAGCAAATGCTTCACACTCTCCTAACTTGTGCATTCTTTCTCATTGCTTCAGTTGCCTCAAACTGAGTTCAAAGTGTAAAAGTATTTAATTAGTTCACTAGGAGGAGTGGAAAGGAGGGAATGGAATCTTGCCCTTCCCTGTAGACCAGTGGTTCCCAAACTTTGGTCCTCCAGGTGTTTTGGACTTTAGTTCCCAGAATTCTTGACAGTGGGCCAAGCTGGTTGGGGCTTCTGGGAATTGGAGTCCAACACACCTGGAGGACCAAAGTTTGGGGACAACTGCTAGGCTCAGGCAAAACCAAACTCCTGTAGCATTTCCTAGCATGTTTGCCATCTTCATCACACTCTGATGTTTCTCAGCCACATATGTCCTGGTTTCAATTTTAGTAATGTTGGAGGGCATGGAAGAGATGTGTTTTTATCTTTTATTCTAACAGCAGGAAGAGTGGGAAACATTTACAAGACCTAAAGGATTGCATCAAGATAGCTTGGTATGACTAGAGCTAAGAAAGAATGCATTATAATTTAGCTAACCTGTAATGTGATGGCTTTCTTTTGTTAAACTACTAAGGCATAATATTTCAGAGGAAGAAGTCATTCTGTTAGTGCGATAACGAGTCATTTTACTGTATAAAGTTACTTTTAGAGGGCATTTTAAATGGGATTTCAGCAAGAATTGTTCTGTTTTGTGCCATTATATCAATTCTCAGGTGTTTGTTTGTTTTTTAAAAAAGAAGTACCAAAAACAAACAGAAAGCAAAACAAAAAGCTACTTTTAAATATTGTAGCAAATAATGTTTCCAGATTTCTTTTTGAGACAGCAGCAGCCACAAAGGGAAACATTACTTTTAGAAAGTAACTTTCTAAGCTCTGGGAGTGATACAAGAAAATAACGTTCTCAGCCAGGGCCTCTACAAGTAGTGGAAGCCTCTCTTACATATTTCAGTCACTGGGTAGCTTCATATTCAAACAGAGGTCCCAACTGTTGCCATGATCTTCTTTCCAGGAGATGGAGGTACAGAGCTCTTGATCTCCTGCCTAATGGATGAGGCCAGTCTCCTAAGCTATTCAACATAGAAGTACCAGAGCTCTGCATATATATGAGATCTGATGTTCTCCCTCATGCCTGTCAATCCTTTTATCTTGTACAAGGATGCTGGTGCCATTTGTCTACCTAATGTTCTACATTCCTCTCTGACCTTTGGAAGAAAGGGAAATGATGTTATGGTATTAAAATAAGATTGGGAAAACTGTGTCTAATATGCTACATGTGGCTCTCAATTTTTGGACCCCCAACTTATTCCCAGACTTTTCAGACATTCCCCATAGAAAAACTGATTTGGTGTCTCTGAAAGTAATGATTTCGTACTAACTAGAACAACTACTGTACAACAGTTAGTGCATAAGGATAAAGAGAATTACTACAACAGTCAATGCAGAGAAATAGAAGCCAACAACAAAAAAGGAAGAGACCTCTTCCACAAGATCTGAGAGTTTAAAGAAAAATTCAAACCAAGAGAGGGGGTGCTCTACAATCAGAAGAGGTACATAATCTATGACCACAATGAAATAAAGAAAAGATGGAAAGGATACACAGAACAGCTATATAAAAATGTGAAAGGTTGAATGACATATTGGAAGAAAAAAACCATATGATAATGAACCTCAAATTTTGGAAACTGAATTTAAAAGCCACACTCAAAGCAATAAGAAATAATAAATCACCAGGAACAAAAGGCATCCCAATAGAATTGCTAAAAACCCCATAGACAGAATCAAGCGGAAGGATACGGGCCTGAGCCTGCAGAACCTGAGCAGAGAAGTTGAGGACAGGGGGTCTTGGAGAGGTCTCATCCACAGGGTCTCCATGAGTCAAAGGAGATTATCACAAGGGGGGAAGGGGGGAGGAAAAAGTAAAATCCCAGGATAATCACACAATTGCATGACATTGTGCTTAATCAAGACTTCTCCCAGGAATAACTAGCAATGCTCAACCATTCACAGGGAATTCCCATGAATGGCTTCTCAATAACGTGATTGAAGCACGATTGGCAGTGTGCAAAAGCAAATCGGGCTTCATTCACAATATTGGGGAAACAAAGTGGGATCTTTAAAAGTTAACTGGGCTGCTGGAAGCAAAATGGAATTTTTAACATTTAAAGGGACTGCAGGAAGCAAGTCAGGATCTTTAAACTTTAAAAGGACTGTGGGAATCAAGCCGGGATCCTTAGGCTTTAAAGCAGGGGTAGGCAACCTGTCCCCTTTAAGGGCCAAGGGACTTCAGCTCCCAGAAGCCTCAGCTATGTTGGCCAATAGTCCCATGTTGGCCAATAGCTCCTGGGTTTCTGGGAGCTGAAGTCCCTCGGCCCTTAAAGGGGAAAGGTTGCCTACCCCTGCTTTAAAGGGACT